TGTATAAATACTACTCGGGAGAGAAAATTTGAATCTTCTCATTGCTCAACTAAAATAAATGGTGCTATTTTTTTGGAATGTTTATTATTTGAGAAGTGTGATGTAACCATTTGATCTAATGAGTTATTTCAGATTTAAAGGAAATGATTGATGTACTACTGGCATATATTGTATAATCGAATATGGTTAAAGGTCGTGAAATCACAAAATTAGGGTTTATTAAAGGACTTGCTAAATGTTATAGGATGCATAACTTCTCGTACTTTTCGAAACAAAACAAATGATGGTGTGAAAATGCTTCAAAAGCCGAAATTGCATGTAAATGTTTAAAATTAAAATAACACAAAGATACCATAGAAATCCATGCAGAAAAAAAAAGTTATTACGATATAAAGATGCATTGCTCAAATCGTGAATTTACACAGAAAACTGTGTAAAAAAATAAATTATAAGGAAAAAGCCAGGTTTTTTGATTTTTTGAAAGTTTGGCTACAACAATAAGATCAAACAAACTCTCAAAACTGATAACCATGTAGGACAATTGTATGATTACGTGTAGGACAACTGTATGATTACACTCAGTTTTTTCCGGAGCTATACTTCCTAACATTTTATCTTACAGAAATTTTAATCGCAGAACTTCAAATTTAAATGAAAAACTGCCTATTTGACTTTATTTGAATGTATACTTTGCATCTGATTCCTAAGTCACATTTACTTTTCAAAAAAAAAGAAAAATTTTTTCCGAGGGAAATTTTTTCAAAAAGAAAAAAAGCAGTAAATCACGTACTAAGATTAATTAGCATATTTTTGTGTCAGAAATATCTAATAGAAGATACACTACAATATATGATTAACCTTTGTTAAGAAGGGTAACATATTTTTATTTCCTTCTTTGCAGAGTATGCAAAGGATTAAGTTCCTTTTGATTTTCATGTTTAAATAAAAGTTGGAAAAACATCCAATGCAAAGAAAGTTGATGATCTATTGATAAGAAATGGAAGGAGAATGAAACAAAATTCTGAACAAATAGCATTGGAAAGAATATAAACCAATAAAAAATACAACTGATTGAGTGCTTTATAGGCGTGTGTACTCATACGTACTCATTGACTGCTCATACACGTACGTGTATGTGTGCATACGTTCAGTATTTAGAACTTGCCACTTTTTTTGCCATCTTTTACCTATTGTACGTTTGAAAGTGTTATTTTATATTCACTTACACATTATTACAATTAATTTCAGGTAAAGGATCATATGGCATTTCATGTATAACACGAATACTTTCATTATTGTCTAATTGTCGACTTCTGGTCAAAGAGCGCTTGCTGTAAGATATTCCACTAAATTGGTAGAAGCGTTTCAAAGGTCATAGGGTTCCGTTCAAAATTATTCTGGCCTTTGTATATTTCTTAAAAATCCAAATGAAAATTAGGGAGTTGGTGTTACTAAGTTATCGTGAATATTAAGCTGCATTACATTCTATTAGTCATGAAGCAAATATCGGCTCGCTGTATGACACTTCCCTGAGATAATAAAAGCGTTTCGAAGGATTTCCGTTCCCGTTTGGTCTTCTGGTCCTCAGGTACTCTGTAACTTTTGCTTCCTATGTCTTTCAGATGCTTTAATTAACAATATGTTGGTTTTTGTAGTTCGGACATGCATTGTGCAACTAACGAACGCAGTCTGGTCATGCTTTTAATAAATCGAGTGATGTGAATCAAAAAACCTGAAAAAATGGGGATATTCTCATTCAGTTGATATTTCCTGAGATATGTAATGAAGTATTCATTCGAAGGTCTAGGTTAATTATCATTCCGGAAGTCTTCTGGGTTTTTGTGAGATCACTATTGGTTATTTTGTTGGTCGCTTATTTTCGTTTTTGTTTCTAATCTAATTGAATCAATACAATTCTAAAACTAGCGAAGTTTCCATACTGACTTTTTTCTTTCACGAGATTGCCTTATGCTTTTGGAATGCTTGCCACCGTGCTATTTTGACTTAGAGAAAGACATTTTGTTTGTCCAATTTAACCTCATTTAACACTGGAATTAAAAATTGATATTAAAAGTGGTGATTTACTTTAAACTCTACGATGTTATGCTAAGCGATAATTATTTTGTAATGGCTTTCAGCAAGCGTAAGTGAAGCCGTATGATGGGTTCTTCTTCTAACGGCAGTAGTGGTACTTTGAAGAGAAAACAGATAACGAGAGGTCGGAAGCGTGATGATGTGAGTTTTAACTGAGTTGTCTTAGGAAATTCGTCGAAAGTTTTCCAGCAAAGTACTGGCTTTATATATATATATATATTATATATATACATATATA